TCCTTTGCCTGAGGAGGTTGTGAAGGGTAGGACTATAACAGGGTTTAAATGAGAACTAGATAAATTCATGGAGGTTAAGTCCATTAATGGCTGTCAGCCATTATGGGTAAGGAATGGTGTCACTAGCCTTTTTGTCAGAGGGTGGAGATGGATGGCAGGAGAGAGATCGCTTGAGCATTAGCTGTTTGATTCATTCCCTCTGGGACACCTGGTATTGGCCACTGTCAGCAGACAGGGTACTGAGCTGGATGGACCTTTTATCTGACCCAATATGGCCATTCGTATATATGTTATTCGGTCTGGTCTTAACTGGTTATTTCGGGCTTTTTTAAGTAATAAGGTACCTGCTATGTTTGAGGGGATTCTTGGGAAATCCCTATGCCATTGAAGATTATTTTATCTAGGTGAAAGGACCTGAATATACCCACATTGCCTTTGCTATCAGGGTGTAAGGTTCCAGTCATGTGTGTGCTAGCTTTGCCTTATCTCAACATACAGGATGTGGCCTGTAAGTGCCTTGCGATACAGCCAAACTCCCAATATAAACCTACTGAAACTTACTATAATAAACATATAATCAAAACCATAAGGAAATAATAAATGTTTATATCTATCTATAGGCAAGCAAGCAGGTTAGCCCTATAGGCTACAGTTCTGAGGGTAAGGCTACGAAAGCAGGGATGGTTCTCCCTGCTGCCTCATTTCCTTGCAACTGCAGGAGCGGTCAGTTGTGAAACTTTCCAAATGCTGCGATCCCAAATTCTTCTCTAACTAAGTACCTTACTCTAGTCTAACTTTAGCGTTGTGGGATTCCTCAGAATTCCCTGAGCAAGATCAGAACCTAACTGTTCTGAAGCCAAAGAGGAAAAAAAATCTGTAAAGATAAAAACCACTCCCAAAGGATCCATCCTCGGTGCAGAGGGTTGCATTGGATATGAAAAAAACCTCTAAACTGTTGTTGACAGTACACTTGGATCCTATGGTAGGGGTTGTGGTTCTGGTGCAAGTAGATCTGCAGTTGGAGTGTTCAGCAGATCAGAATGATTAATTTCTTATGGGAGAGAAGAGGAAAGCTTCTATGGGTACATCTAGATTGCATCCCTCTGCGGGTAGAGGGATGCAAATCAAGCACTACGGAAGTGCAAATGAGCCCAGGATTTAAATATCCCAGGCTTCATTTGCATGCTCATGCTCGGGCGCTGTGCCGATCACGTGCCCTTTCAAAAGTGAAAGTAAAGTGTATCCACGGCTCTGCTGCCAGTGGGGAGCTTTTTCGGCAGATCCTGTACTCCTCAAAAAATGAGGAGGCTCTGCTGAAAAAGCTCCCTGCTGTCAACAGAGCCGGGGCTACACTTTACTTTCACTTTCGAAAGGGCGCGTGATCGGCACAGCACCAGAGCATGAGTATGCAAATGTAGCCCGGGATACTTAAATCCCGGGCTCATTTGCACTTCCGAAGTGCTTGATTTGCATCCCTCTGCCTGCAGAGGGATGCAGTCTAGACATAGCCAGAGTCATCTTACATCAAATGAGAGGAAGAGTTAGAGGGATCTATTTTGTGTTCCCTGGTCTCTTCCTTTTCACCTAAAAGTTTGGCAGGTTCCCTTCCTCTCTGTTGTTCTTCCTTAGGTGCCATCATCAGTTATTTCACTGACAGATCTGAGATCAGATTCACAGTCCAAAGAAGAATTGGATCACGTTAGAGTTACTGATGTTCCTCTGAGTCTTCAGTCCCAACAATCTGACTGTCCAACTAGATAATCTGGGTTGATCATCTTGTGAGATGTTGCTATAGTTGGGTTAATGGCAGGATTGCGAAGTCACACAGTGCAAAGTGGCACCATGTTGCCCATTGCCTCGGCATTACAGAGACCTTTTTCAGTCTTACCACCATAGCCACTCAGCTCAGACTAGAGATTGGAAAAAGCTCACACATTGGATCTGAGATGCTTGGATTCAGTTTTTGTAACTACTTATAGAGAGCACTTTCCCATTATAATGCTGGATGCTTTACCTAAAGAAGAGGAGTCAGTAGTTCGAATAGATTATCAACAGTTATATTCAGAGCTTAGAATGATTCTTCTGATGAGAATATTGATAATGCTGCACTCTATTCACCTTTTGAGGATTTGCAATTTAATTATCTCATGGGTAGTATTGTTACAACTTTAATGGTTTTGTCAGTTGCTTTAGAGGGGATTTCTCACCTAGTTTTTCATACTTTACTCTGAATTAGAACTGAAAATGTGCTCCCTTCCCTAGTTTTTAGATGCAACTATCCTTCCTGACCTCCAGAGTACATATTCCAGAAACTAGCATGAGCCACTGCCCTTCCACCATAGCCATGTTGCTATTTTGGTGGGCTAGGCTGGGCATATCTAAG